TAATCTGTAAGTTGCCATGTGGCTCGTGGCTTACCGGTAGCTTACATCTCGCTTTTCATGGCAGTGGCTGGCAGCGTCTCCCTGCCTTAGCCTTCCACTTCCCAGAATTCTCCTCTCTTCTCGTCCCACCTATACTTCCTGCCTGGCTACTAGCCAATCAGCATTTTGTTTACACAGAGCGATATCCACAGCATCCGTGGGTACCAGGCACACACATGATGCACATACATAAGTCTATGCAAAACACTCATAAAATAAGTAAAACCTTAAAAAAATATGAACAATAAAGTAAACAATACTGTGTTTGGTCCCCTTCCCCAACCTCACCAGCCTATAGCTGCTAACTTTCTTTTTGTTTTGTTTTGGTTTTTTTTTTTTGTTTTGGTTTGGTTTTTGGTTGTTTTATTTGTTTTTTGTTTTTCTCTGTCCTGGAACTCACAGAGATCCGCCTGCCTTTGTCTCCCAAGTGCTGGGATTAAAGGCATGTGCCGCCACCGCCCAGCTTTAGCTGCTAACTTTCAACCCTGATTCCCATCTGAGTTCTGGGTGGTCAGGGAAAGAGGCCAGGGCCTGCAGAGGCGGTTAGACTGGTGGCCTCGCATGTTGGATTCTTAGGCAGCTGGATTCTTGACCCTATCAAAAAGACCTGGTGGGATCTGGTGACGTGCTGGCTGGGACCAGCTCCGATCAACCGTGGACCAGCTATGATCACGATTTTGCCCAGTTCTTCCTCTGGGTTGGCCTGTGTGACCAAGTACATGTATGGTGTTCCAAGGAGGTCTCAGCCTGAAACTGTGGTTGGATGACCTACTTGGCGAGAGAGATGGTAGGCCGGTCAGGTCCAGGTGGCCAGCAAGATGGCTCAGTGGGTAAAAATTTAGTGTGCAAGCTCAACAACCTGAGTTCAGTCCCTGGAACTTGCAGTGGACTGAGTCCTGAAAGTTGTCTTCTGACTTCTGCATTCACACTGTGAGAGGCACACACCCATACTCATATATGCCATGCATATACAATAATAATAATAATAATAATAATAATAATAATAATAATAAATAAAAATAAGTTAGTTGTTAGCTAATCTGGGTGAGACACTCCTGCAATCCCAGCACTTGGAAAGCTGAGGCAGGAGGATTGGAAGTTTGAGGCTAGTGTAGGCTGTATAGCAGGACTTCGTATCAAACACAACCACAAGCAGAAGCCGGGCGTGGTGATGCACACATATAATCCCAAGCCTTCAAGAGGCTGATGACCGCTGCAGGAGGATCATGAGTTCAGGGTCAAATGGGGCTGCGTCGTAAAACCCTGCCTTAAAAAAAAATAGTTGGCTGCTACTGAGGGAGAGGGTTGAAGCCAGGGGTGGTAACCTCTCCCCTACCACTTTGTCCTGAGGGGCGTATCAGAGCCAGGGGCTGAGGGAGCTGAGAGCAAGAAGTCATGCACAGTTAAGCATGCGCTGGGCAGCCCCAGTGTAGGAGTGCCTTGAGGGGACCACACTGTGGCTGGCAGTGGGCACACAGCTGTGTTCCTTTGTGTGTGTGTGTTTGTGTGTGCACAAATGCATCAGTGTACATGAATACAAGCGTTTGCAAGTGTGGGGTGTGTGCAGAGGAAGCCACCTGCAGCTGGCACACGTGACCTCGGTCATTCACTCCTATTCATCACTCAGAAACCAACTTCATACTTTGGGGATTTGAGGGCTCCTGGGAGAGTGGGGTGAAGTGGCCAAGTAGGTCTGAGATCGTTCAGAAAGCTACGTCCAGAGGACAGAGGTCCACCGGCAGAGGGGAGGTAGGATGTGCCACTTCGGCTCACCCGGCCTCTGCCCCCAGAGCAGCTCGTGCTCGGTGCCTCGCAGGAGCCAGTGGGACGCTGGGACCAGGACTACGACAGGGCTGTGCTGCCGCTGCTAGACGCCCAGGAGCCCTGCTACCTACTCTTCCGCCTTGACTCGCAGAATGCCCAGGGTTTCGAGTGGCTCTTCCTGGCCTGGTCACCTGATAATTCACCTGTGAGTCCTGGGCACCACGGCCCATCTCCCTGCTTGGGGCCAGTGGGAAGAGGGGAGAACAGATGAGAGATTGGCCCAAGGAGGCTAACGGAAGGAATGTCTGCCCCAAACCCTGTCTGTTCGATCAGCCTGTCAGCCTGACTCAGGGCTGTTTGAGCTGGGTGGAGGCGCCCCCTGCTGGCGAAAGCTGCCTGATACAGCCCTGCTGCGCCCCCTGCTGGGTATGTGGGAACAGTGAGATGACCTGATTCCGTGCCCTGCCTCCCTCTTCTGGGGCTCCAGTTGGCTCCAGTTGGCAGCTTGGCCCACGGGGGCCTCACAGTTTGCCCCATCTCAGGTGCGGCTGAAGATGTTGTATGCGGCCACGCGAGCCACAGTGAAGAAGGAGTTTGGAGGCGGCCACATCAAGGATGAGCTCTTCGGGACAGTAAAGGTTAGTTACCCAAGGCAGAATGCAGGATGGGGACCAGAGGGTGAGGCATTATGTGAGGGTCACAGCAACTCAGTGCCAGGCTCAGGGTGAAAAATAGGACTGGGGACCGGGACTCACCATAGTTGACACAGTGACACAGTGTTTGCCTAGCATGCATGAAATCCTGGGTTTGATTCCCAGCTCTTAGGAAGTGGAGACAGGGGGATCAGAAGTTCAAGATCATTGTTGACTGTGTAGTGAGTTTGAGGCTGGCTTTGGCGCTACATAAGATGCTGTCTCAAACAAAAGAAATGGAGGGATGGGGAGTCCGGGAGCCACAAGCTGAGATACACAGTGGGCTTCTGCCTGCCTGCCTGCCTGGGGTATCCATTTCTACCTCTGAGCCTGCCCCACAGGACGACCTCACTTTGGCTGGGTACCAGAAACACCTGTCATCCTGTGCGGCACCTGCCCCACTTACTTCCGCAGAGAGAGAGCTCCAGCAGATCCGAATCAACGAGGTGGGTGTGCAGGGGTGTGTGCTGGGAGTCGCTGAACTCGGTAGGCTGCAGCTGGGTAGTAAGGCTTGCTTCCTTCATGGTCGCCCCATCCCCAGGTGAAGACCGAGATCAGCGTGGAAAGCAAGCACCAGACCCTGCAGGGCCTGGCCTTCCCCCTGCAGCCTGAGGCCCAGCGGGCCCTCCAGCAACTCAAGCAGAGGACCGTCAACTACATCCAGCTGGTGGGTGCACAGGCGTGCCACGTGTCCACGACACACGGCCAGGCACCGTGGGCTTCCCCTACTCCTGGTTATGTTTGCAAATGGGCACAGAGCCCGATCCCCATCTCCTGAGCGGTTCCTGGACTGGGGGTGTAGCTCAGCTGGTAGAGCGCTTGCCTGCCATACACTGGGATTTGATCCTCGGCAGCAGCACATAGAACTGGGTGTGATGGCACACACCTGGAATCTCAGCCCTCAGGAGGCAGAGAGAGGCAGGAGCATCAGAGCTCAAGGTCATCATCCTTGGCCACATAGGGAGTTGGAGATCAACCTAATCTGCACAAGACTGTTTCTTTTGTTGTTGTTGTTGTTGTTGTTGTTTTGAGATAGTTAGGGTTTCTCTGTGTGGCTTTGGTGCCTGTCCTGGAACTCAATTTGTAGACCAAGTTGGCCTTGAACTCACAGGGATCCACCTGCCTCTGCCTTTTTTTTTTTTTCCTTGTTTCTTTTTTTAAAGAGCATACTGTTTTCCTCTCCTCTCCCTGCCCCCAAGCCCTGGCCACAACAGACACCCTGTAGACAGTTCCTCTGTAACTCCCTTGACTACCTCTTTCCCAGGCACAGCTCTTCTGCATCCTCTGACCACACAGGCTGGCTCTCCCTTCCACTTTCCTGGGGCTTTGCCTCTGAGGATGGAACCATTGCAATGTCTTGTTGAGGTCACAGTCCTCCACACCACCCCAAATGGGGATCTGGGTTGGGGGGGGCTACATCCTTAGCTGAACCTTCAAAGGGGCAGAGTTAGGGCCAGGCCTGGAAGGTCTCTTTAGAATAACTCCTGCAGCCTGAGGTCCAGCCTTGGGAAGGGGACCCGAGGGAGAAGGACCCCCCAAACACTCCAGCCCTGTTTCTTAGTGGGTACAGTGGTGCCCTCACACCGCCCCTTCTCCTCCTCAGAAGCTGGACCTGGAACGGGAGACCATTGAGCTGGTACACACAGAGCCCACAAATGTGACCCAGCTGCCCTCACGGGTTCCCCGAGATGCTGCCCGCTACCACTTCTTCCTGTACAAGCATACCCATGAGGGTGACTCCCTTGAATCTGTGGGTGAGTAGCAATGACAGGGACCTCAATTCTGTGCTGGCCAGGAGCAGCGATGACAAGCCACTGCTTGGTCCTGCTGTGGGGGGGAGGTGTGCAGGTGCCCCAGCCTGCGTGGGCTCACCTCCTCGTCCTCCACAGTGTTCATCTACTCCATGCCGGGGTACAAGTGCAGCATTAAGGAGCGCATGCTCTACTCCAGCTGCAAGAGCCGCCTCCTCGACTCTGTAGAGCAAGACTTCCAGCTGGAGATAGCTAAGAAGGTATAGCCTGTTCCCCATCACCCCACTCTCCGTGTGAGACCCTGGAGTCCTAAGTCCATGTGGGATTCATTGCTGCAGTATTGGATGGGTGGGGAGCCGAAGATGTGGGACAGCCCAAGACACACACAAGCCCAGCCTCCTTTCCTTAGGTCTTGGGTGACTGGGAGAAGGTGACTCTGGCCAGCAGGGTAGCGGCCCTGTGTTACATATCCCGTGGTGACCTAAGAGAAGATAGATGTCAGGGGTGACTCTGTGAGTGAGGCGTACCAAGAGTGGTATGTGTTGGAGCCTCAGCGTAGTGATGGCTTCTGTCTTGATCCATGCAGATTGAGATTGGTGATGGGGCAGAGCTGACAGCCGACTTCCTCTACGATGAGGTACATCCCAAGCAGCATGCCTTCAAGCAGGCATTCGCCAAGCCCAAAGGCCCTGGCGGCAAGCGGGGCCATAAGCGCCTCATCCGGGGCCCCGGCGAGAATGGAGATGACAGCTAGGTGTCTGGACTGGAAACAGGCCGGGCATGTGGACTGCCGGCTTGCTGCCCTACCGCTCCTGCACCTCCTTCCTCCCTAGCCTGGGCTCTAAGGAATCGGTTCCTGTGGGACAGGAGGGCAGGTGGCTGAACACGTTTGCTACTTTCAAGGGCCATTGGACCAGCAGCACTTTGTGACCCTGCCCTGGAGCTGTCCTTTTCTCTCATCTGTGTGCACAGGGTGGCTGGGGAACCCTACCTGGCTCTTTCAAGGGGTCTGCGTGGGGGGCCTGGCATGAACCTAGCCTCCAGATCTGATGCTGTGGTCCCAGCTCAGTCCAGAAGCCTTTGGCCACAGAGGGTGGGGACGGTTGGCAGGGGCCAGATGTCACAGGAAGGGACGGTTGAACGCTGTATTTTCTAAAGAATAAAATATTTTTAAATCAATACTGAGCCTGACTCTGTGAATTGGGTGCCTTTGTTTGCATAGCTGTCTTTTTCCCTGTTCAGAAGGGGCTTTGCTGGCCTGCTAGGGTGAAACCCAAGCGCTCCTGGCCTCAGATGTATGGGAGATGCTTTGAGAGTGAGGGAAGAAGCCCTGCCCATGAGGCCCACACACTTCCACGAGTTTATGGACATCTGGGTGTCTCTGTTTCCTGTGGGTGCTGTGACAAGTTACCACAAACTCGGTGGCTTAAAAAAGAGGTAGTTTGAGCCCAATCTGAGCAAAACTCTGTTTAAAAAAGGAAAAGAAAACCTTGCACATTTATTTGTACAGATCTGGAGGCCGGACAAGGCTGACACCATGGTACAGACAGCTGGCCTTTGGCAGGGTTGGCTGTGTTCTTAGCTCCGAATTTGAAGACCCAGATCCTGCTTCTCTGCTTCCATGGCCCTGTGCCCCCGTCTGCAGTCACACGTTTCCATCTTTACATTTTAGTGTTGTGTTTTGTGACAGGGCCTTGTGTAGTGACTGAGACAATCATCCTGCCTTAGCCTCCCTGATGCTGGCGTTACCAGCATGCTTCACCATACTGCCTCTGTCTCTGTTTCATTCATTTGTTGGGTGGATTTTGTTGTTGTTATTGTTTTGTTTTTGTTTTTCAAGACAGGGTTTCTCTGTGTAGCTTTGGAGCCTGTCTGGGAACTCACTCTGTAGACCAGGCTGGCCTCAAACTCACAGAGATCCACCTGCCTCTGCCTCCCGAGTGCTGGGATTAAAGGCGTGTGCCACCACTGCCTGTGTTGGGTGGATTTTTGAGACAGAATCTCATGTACCCCAGGCTGGCCTCCAGTGGGCTCTGTAGCTGAGGCTGATCTTGAACCTCTAGAGGCATGCACCACTGCCTGGCTTATGGGGTATCGGAGATCAAACCCAAGGCCTTGTGAATGCTAAGCAAGCAGTGTGGCAGCTAAGCTACATCCACAGTCCCCAGTGCTTTATAACAGACACTCACTCTTAGCTTCCTGTCCACACTTCCCCTACAATAATGTAGGATTGGGGGAATGAGGAGATGGATTCCTAAGAAGGCACTGTTCATTTTTGGTTTTTGGTTTTTCAAGACAGGGTTTCTCTGTGTAACAGCCCTAGATGTCCGGGAACTAGCTCTGTAGACCAGACTGGCCTTGAACTCGGAGATCCTAAGTGCTGGGATTAAAGGCGAGTGCCACCACGGCCCGGCTACACTGTTTGTTTTTTGAGACAGAATTTTACTATGTAGCCCAGGCTAGCCTGGAGCTTTGTTATGTAAACCAGGCTGGCCTCATAAATCACAGAGATCCACCTGCCTCTTGCCTCTTGAGTGCCTGGATTAAAGGTGTGTGCCACTGCATTTGGATCCTAAGAAGGCACTGTTGATCGTACCAGCCTGGGTGAGGGCTCTCTGGTTGGGTTTTCACAGCACCAAGGCTATAGTGGGTATTCTAGAGACCTGTATCTTGGAGTCTCCAGTCCTGTGTGTCCTTGACCATGTTGTCAGCATCCCTGTGCCCCTCTTCAGGCCTGCTTTCCTATCCCCAAGGAATGCAGAGTGGTGAGTGGAAGTGGGCACCTGACTCTGTGGTCCATGAGGAGTCACTTGGCCTCTGGGAAAGTGCCCAAGTTTGATACTCAGCAGAAGCCAGGGGTCAGTCTATGCCTCTGAAGAATGGGTAGACACCTCCTGGTCCAGGAGAGGAGGGCTGGAGAAACATGCAGCTGCTAAGTGGACACTGTCCTTTCTCCTGGATCAGGGCATTGTCCCATTGCAGGGGCCCTTTTGAACCCCTCTTAAAGCCCCTAGGATTATGGATAGGAAAGCTGGGACCCTGGCAAGGAGCCACAGGAGACTCGGGCCACATACCGGTTGGTTCTCAGGCAGGCAAGAATATAACACAGATGGCGCTCAAGCTGCCAAGGCAGCCAGACCATTGGCACCGCGGACCCTGCCTGCTATGAGATCCACTCTGATGAGGGTCTGGGCAGAGCCAGGAAACTGATGTAGAACCCCGCTCCTTTCGGGAGAATGGCCCATCATTCATTCTCTCATTCATTCATTCATTTATTCCAACTTCACTCAAAGATACCCTGACTACCAAGGCTGAGTGCTGTGGGCAGGACACAGCTTCAGCAGATACTGAGCAATGCCACAGACACAGATGGAAGTTCTTACCCTCAAGAAGTCAACATTCCAACAGGAGAGTAAGGCGGTACCCAGCAGAGCATGAAGGGTGGGTGGCATGGTGTGGCAGCATTTGAAAAAGGTTTTGCAAAGAGAGAACGAGCAGGCCACAGTGCTCAGGCGAGCCAGACCTGGGCTGGCAGGGTTACTTATGTCCGTATTTCTTTTGAATCAGGGTTTCACTATGTAGCCCAGGCAGGCCTTGAACTCTCATTCTCCTGCATCACCCTCGTGGTGCCGGAAGAATGGGTGTGTAGCTGAGCTGAGAGGTTCATGAGAAGGTCAGGGAAGGCCGGCCCCATGGAAAGAGAGGATGATATGAGCAGTGTGTAAAGGCAGAAAATAAAATGGACCATGTGGGGAATCTGGGGAAGAGAGTGTCCAGGCAGAGGGAAGAGTATGTTCAAAGGCCTCGAAGCTAGAAAATGCACAGATACATCCAAACAACAAGAAGCCAGGGTGGCTGTCAGCAGATCGGGAGAAATGGAATGACAGGGAGCATAGTACCTGGGCTACTGTTTGGACAGTGACTAGGGCTTCAGACAGTTATGGAGGGATCTGGGTAGAGGAGGGGCCCAGAATGGAAGTTTTGAACAGAAGGGATGGAGAGATGGCTCAGCAGTTAAGAGCATTGGTTGCTTTTCCAGATGACCTAGGTTCAGTTCCCAGCACCCACATGGCAGCTCACAGCTGTGTGTAGCACCAGTTGCAGGAGATCTGACATGCTCTTCTGACCTCCTCAGACACTAGGCTTGCAAGTGGTGCAGGTAACACATACAGGTGCATACACACACACACACACACACACACACACACACACACACACACACGTATACACAAGGCCTTTCCAGGGGCTCAATGTGAATTGCTGGGGGATATCTTTCTGTACGCTGTGAATATATGTTGTTCCCATCGGTTAATAAATAAGCTGCTTTGGCCTATGGCAAGGCAGCTTAGAGGCAGGCGGGAAATCCAAGGAGAGAGACAGAAAGAGAAAGGTGGAGTTGAGGGAGACACCAGCACCGCCAGGAGAAGCAAGATGTGAAAGTACCAGTAAGCCACAGTAAGCCACGGCCACGTGGCAACTTACAGAAAATAGAAATGGGTTAAGTTATAAGAGCTAGCTAGCAAGAAGCTTGCCATAGCCCATACAGTTTGTAAATAATATAAGCCTCTATGTGTTTACTTGGGTCCAAGTGGCTGCAGGACCTTTAGTGAGATTGTTCTGGACTGCAGGGGGCCAGGCAGGACCCTAGAAACTTACAGCTACAGTGAATAGGCCGCAGGAGACGAGAGAGAGCAGAACCAGGGTGATGTTAGCGATGATGTCAGCTCAGGCAGGCCGATAGATGTGCAGGGAGGCGGACCGTCCCATCCTTCAGGGAAGCTCCTTAAAACTCAGGAAGTAAAAACTGAAAAGCTTCAGGAAGTCCCTGAAAGTGATCAGGCCCTCCCTCCCCAAGCTTGTATGACAGTGAAGACTGCTGAGAGGCACTCTCAGACCAGCGGGGGTGGGGGGTGGGGTGGGCGGAGTGCTGCCTGGAAGAAGCAGAAGCCAGTTGAGCTGCCTGGAAAAGGCTCCGACCAACTGAGTTGCCTAGAAAATTACCTCTCCAACATTTTGAGCTGCCACCAAGTTGTGCCATGAAGCTGCAGGTGTCCAGCCTTTGTGGAATCCATGCTGGGGTGGGCTCTTGGTGGTGCAACTGTCTCTGTGTCATGTCTGCTCCTCTAAGTGAGCCCTCACTCATACTTGTGCCCGTAACTCCAGTAAAGCTCACTGGCTAGCCAACTTGGACTTGGGTGATGTCCTCAGCTTTGGTCTGTCATTGGTTGCCTTCCTCGGGTGAGTACACATCTGCACACATCTCCCCAGGAATCGTGTCGCACAACAGCAAGATTACCCAGAGTTCCAGTTGGACCAGCCACTGGGGTCTGATGGGCTACTGGGGGAACTGGGAATGCAGAGCAGGAGAGATGTCGAGGCTGCTGCAGTGGTGAAGGCAGATTTTGGCTCCAGCCTCTGGCTCGCAGAGGCTCCCCAGAGTTCTGGGGAAGGAGCAGGTTGGGGAGCCTGCCCTGGGCGTACCCACGGAGCAAACACTGAGGCATGAGGGTGAGGTGACACCCTCCACGTGGGTGTCAATGCTCGGCTTAGCTCTGCCAGGCTACTTTAGACCCTGGTTTCTCATTGACCTTGGGCAGGACTCTGGGCTTTGGTTCCTTCCCATACCTCCCAGGGGACAGATGTGAGGCCCTCATGGCTGACTGTGGGGTGAGGAAGAGAATGGAAAGAGGAAGGGGTGAAAAGGCCTGCCTGCCTGCCATCTGACTATGCAAATGACCTGTGACTCATGGTACCACCTGCCCTCCCCGGGTAGGGATAAAGTATCTATCAGGCTGCAGTGAAAGTGTCACTTCCTCAGTTCTCTAAGGGACCCTGGTGGAACATCCTTCTCTGCCGCCCAGCTTGTCAGACGGAGCCTCTAGAGAAGACTCCATTCCCCAACATGGTAGGACCGCAGTTCTTAGCGCGCCCCCCCCCCCCCCCGGGGTGGGTATCATGGGAGGGGGATGATGTTAGAATGGTCACAGTGGAAAGGACAGTCCACTCGGTGCCCTCAGGATGTTCATGGACCCCTAAGGAAATTGGAGCCAAAGTCGTTCTCTGAGCAGGGAGGGATGAACCTGCTAGGTGGGTAGGGAGGCTGAAGCCTGGGACCTCAGTCAGCGGTGGCTGCTGACCTGCATGCCGAAGACCCGCTGCCCGCTGCTCCCTCTGGGCCTGCTGATTCTCAGCAGGTTGAGGGTTCTCAGGTCAGACTGGGGAAGCGGATGGAGGCTAAAAAAGCCAGTTTGTACCGGCGAGGAGCCGGCTACACCTCAGGGGGCTTCAGAGCTTCCCACACTTTGTCCAAGGAGAGGCCAGGAAGTGAGTGGAGCACAGCTTCAGGGAGGCTGGAGGAACAGAGTCCCGGCAGCTGCTGCGTTCAGGAGAAAGAGCCGAGGCCCCAGAGGAGAGGAAGAGAAAGTGCGAGAGGCCCAGTGGGCCCCACTGGGGTCTGTCCTGGCCCTGCTGTGGGTTGTGTTCCCAGCGAAAAGCTCCAAGTCTGGGGTCTGGATTTCAGGCCCAATCCTGGTTCTGTGCCCTAGCCCTGAGTCAGTCAGAGGCTGAGCCTAAAACCAAGGAGCGGTTCTGAGCGGGCCGGAAGGAGGCTGGAGGGTGGGGCACTTGGAGAGGATTTGGAAGCCCTGAAGAACGCCCCAGTGAGGAAGAGAGGGTAGGAGAGGGAGGACAGGATAACACTAGACACTCACCCAGTCCTGGCTCTCACAGGTTCTCTGTCACAGGACCCTTCACCCCTTGTCTCTCCTGGTGCAAGCTGCAGTGCTGGCCGGGGTTCTGGCTCTGGGCACCCTGCCTGCCTTCCTGCCCTGTGAGCTGAAGCCTCGTGGCCTGGTAGACTGCAACTGGCTATTCCTGAAGTCTGTGCCTCGCTTCTCTGCAGCAGCTGCCCGTTCCAATGTCACCAGCCTTTCCTTGATCTCCAACCGCATCCACCACCTGCATAATTCCGACTTCATCCACCTGTCCAACCTGCGGCACCTGAACCTCAAATGGAACTGCCCACCCGCTGGCCTCAGCCCCATGCACTTCCCCTGCCACATGACCATTGAGCGCAACACCTTCGTGGTTGTGCGTACACTGGAAGAGCTGAATCTGAGCTACAATGGCATCACCACTGTACCCCCACTGCCCAGCTCCCTAACGAACCTGAGCCTGAGCCACACCAGCATCCTGGTACTGGATTCTACCAGCCTCGCCGGCCTGCACAACCTGCGCTTTCTCTTCATGGATGGGAACTGCTACTACAAGAATCCCTGCAATGAGTCAGTGGAGGTGGCCCCAGGTGCTCTCCTGGGCCTGAGCAATCTCACCCATTTGTCACTCAAGTATAACAAACTCGAGAAGGTGCCCCGCCAACTGCCCCCCAGCCTGGAGTACCTACTGGTGTCCTATAACCACATTGTCAAGCTGGCACCTGAAGACCTCGCCAATCTGACCTCCCTGCGAGTACTTGATGTGGGTGGGAACTGTCGCCGCTGTGACCATGCCTTCAACCCCTGTACAGAATGTGGACAAGAGTCCCTCCAGCTGCACCCTGAGACCTTCCATCATCTGAGCCACCTTGAAGGCCTGGTGCTGAAGGACAGTTCTCTCCACACGCTGAACTCCTCCTGGTTCCAAGGCCTCGTCAACCTCTCGGTGCTGGACCTGAGTGAGAACTTTCTCTATGACAGCATTACCCAAACTATGGCCTTCCAGAACTTGACAAGACTTCGAAAGCTGGACCTGTCCTTCAATTACTGCAAGAAGATATCATTTGCCAAGCGCCACCTGACAAAGTCCTTCGAGAGTCTGGTGTCACTGCAAGAGCTGAACTTGAACGGCATCTTCTTCCGATTGCTCAACAAGAACACACTCAGGCCGCTCACCAATCTGTCCCACCTCCACACTCTGCATCTTCAGATGAACTTCATCAACCAGGCCCAGCTCAGCATCTTCGGTACCTTCCCAAACCTTCGTTTTGTGGACCTGTCAGAGAACCGCATCAGTGAGTCTTTGGTAATGTCAGCAGCCCCCCCTGAAGAAGCAGATGGTGCGGAGCAGGAGAGTCTGTGGTCTGGGGTTCCTGCCCCAACTCTACTGAGCACCCCTGCCTCTAAGAACTTCATGGTCAGGTGCAGGAACCTCAAGTTTACCTTGGATCTCTCTCGGAACAATCTGGTGGTAGTCAAGCCAGAGATGTTCATCAACCTCTCCCACCTCCAGTGCCTAAGCCTGAGCCACAACAGTATTGCACAGGCTGTCAATGGCTCTCAGTTCCTGCTGCTGACCAATCTGCAGGTGCTAGACCTCTCCCATAACAAGCTGGACTTGTACCACGGGCACTCGTTCACTGAACTCCCACAATTGCAGGCCCTGGACCTGAGCTACAACAACCAGCCCTTCAGCATGCAGGGTATCGGCCACAACTTTAGTTTTGTGTCCCGTCTGTCCAGGCTGCAGTACCTTAGCCTGGCACACAATGACATTCACAGCCGTGTGTCCTCACATCTTCGCAGTAACTCACTGAGGTCCCTGGACTTCAGTGGCAATGCTGTAGGCCTCATGTGGGGTGAGGGGAACCTTTACCTCCAATTCTTCCAGGATCTGCGTTGCCTGAACCAGCTGGACCTGTCTCAGAATCGCCTGCATATCCTCCTGCCCCAGTACCTCGACAACCTCCCCAAGAGCCTGAGGATTCTGAATCTCCGCGACAATTACCTGTCTTTCTTTAACTGGAGCAGTCTCACCTTCCTGCCCAACCTGAAAGTCCTGGACCTGGCAGGAAATCAGTTAAAGGCCCTGACCAACGGCACCTTGCCTAATGGCACCCTGCTCCAGAAGCTGGATGTGAGTAGCAACAGTATTATCTCTGTGGCCCCAGCCTTCTTTGTTCTGGCTGTGGAGCTGAAAGAGGTCAACCTCAGCGACAACTACCTCAAGACAGTGGATCGCTCCTGGTTTGGGCCCATAGTGCCGAACCTGACAATGCTGGACGTGAGAAGCAACCCTCTGCACTGTGCCTGTGGGGCGGCCTTTGTGGACTTCCTGCTGGAGGTGCAGACTAAGGTGCCCGGCCTGCCCAACCAGGTGAGGTGTGGCAGTCCCAGCCAGCTGCAGGGCCGTAGCATCTTCGCGCAGGACCTGCGGCTGTGCCTGGATGAGGTCCTCTCCTGGGACTGCTTTGGCCTTTCCCTGTTGGCTGTGGCTGTGGGCATGGCGGTGCCATTACTGCAGCATCTCTGCGGCTGGGACGTCTGGTACTGTTTCCACCTGTGCCTGGCATGGATACCTTTGCTGGCCCGGGGTCGGCGCGGCGCCCAAGCCCTGCCCTACGATGCCTTCGTAGTGTTCGATAAGGCGCAGAGCGCGGTTGCCGACTGGGTGTATAACGAGCTGCGGGTGCGGCTGGAGGAGCGGCGCGGGCGTCGAGCACTGCGCCTGTGCCTGGAGGACCGCGATTGGCTGCCGGGCCAGACGCTCTTCGAGAATCTCTGGGCCTCCATCTATGGCAGCCGCAAGACGCTGTTTGTGCTGGCCCACACGGACAGGGTCAGTGGCCTCCTGCGCACCAGCTTCCTGCTGGCTCAACAGCGTCTGCTGGAGGACCGCAAGGATGTGGTGGTGTTGGTGATCCTGCGCCCCGATGCCCACCGCTCCCGCTACGTGCGCCTGCGCCAGCGCCTCTGCCGCCAGAGTGTGCTCTTCTGGCCCCAGCAGCCCAACGGGCAGGGCAGCTTCTGGGCCCAACTGAGCACAGCCCTGACTAGAGACAACCGCCACTTCTATAACCGGAACTTCTGCCGGGGACCCACAGCAGAATAGCCCGGAGCAACAAATGGGAACAGCGGCACCTTCACGCCTGGCCACCCGGGGTGCTCCGCCTGCCTTGCTCTGTCCTTCTGCTTTACTCCACGAGTATCCAGCAGGTGTTCAATACATGCTGCCAAACCACCACCCCTGGGCTCCTGGGCGGTGTGGGTGGGGGAAGAGATGGGAAAATTCTCCATATCTCCGCAGAGTAAAGAGAGAGAAGATAGATTAAAAATGGGACCCACAGAACAAAGGTTGGTTGTGAAGGGCAGTTTTCTTCGCAGGCATCTTCCAGGAGGGTCTGAAGAGAATCACCAAATGTGGACTTGATCCTTCCCAGAAAATAGGACCTGGTCTGACTTCATTTTATTTTATTTTTTTAAAGCTATTCTCTGAATGCCCTGCCCTCTGTGCTGGCCTGTGTCAGCACCTCTCTGTCTGTCTTGCCCTCAGCAAGGTCCTGAGAAAACTCCCAAGCAGGGATGTGCTCACTACTAGGTGTGTAGGAAAAGAGGGATGATTGCACGCTCGGGTGGCCATGCCTAAGCTGGAGAAAGAAGGCCAGCCTTGATTAGAGCCCCACCAGTGCCAGCAGCGGCAGCAGCAAGGAGCTGAGAGCCACAGAAGATCAAAGGTGTATTCAACCTCGGGGTGTGTGTGTGTGTGTGTGTGTGTGTGTGTGTGTGTGTGTGTACACTTGTACATGTGCATTTGGAGGCCAGAGGTCAACCTCACACATCATTCTTCTAGTGCTATACGTTTGGTTTTTGAGACAGTCTCTCATTGACCCAGAACTCACCAATTAGTCTATGTTGGCCGGCCAGAGAGCCCCCAACTATTCACCTCCTCCAGCTTCCCAGCCCCAGGATTCTAAAGGCACTCACCACACCTAGCCTTGTCACGTGGGTTTGGGGGATCAAATTCAGGTCACCATGCTTGCAAACAAGCTATCTTCCCAGCCCTGTGTCCACCCTTTGGACATCATGACAAACATTGTCACCTACATTGTCACATTTGAGATCTGTGCGATGAGTTAAAACACAGAACAAATCACGACCAAAAAAAAAACAAAAACCAACAACAACCTAACAAAAAGATTCAGCGGACGGTTTTGTGTCAGGCTGCATCACAGCTGTCCATGGGTCCATCAGTCTTTGCGCCACAGATTGAACACACCTATTAAGATGAACTCATAATCCGCCCCTTCCCACTTGCATCTAGAGGGTCATGCCAGGTCACACTGTACAGACATCAAAAGACACCTGGTGAGCTACCGCCTGGCTACAAAGGGAAGGGGTCCTCTTCCGTGCGCTTGTCTCTCAGACCTGCTTACATTCAGGCTGAGGCCTAGTCACATCTGATCAAGATGACTATGTACATATGTTTCTTTCTTCCTTTCTTTTTTTTCAAGACGGGGTTTCTCTGTGCAGCCCCAGCTAGCCTCGAACTTACTTTGTAGACCAGGCTGGCCTTGAACTCAGAGCTCTATATGCCTGCCTCTGCCTTACGAGCACTGGGATTAAAGGCATGCACCACCACTGCCCAGCTCTTTCTTTTTTTAAAGCCAGGCAGGGTCTCACTACCTAGCCCTGGCTAACCTGGAACTCTGTGTAGACCAGGCTGGCCTGGGACCCACAGAGATCCTCTTGCTTCTGCCTCCCAAGTGCTGGGATTAAAGGTGTGTGCTACCCTGCTCAGAATTTATTTTTTTAATTTTAAATAAATTTGCATTTATTTCATATGAATGTGGGTGTGTGTGCGAGGGCCATGACGGGCTTGTGGAGGTCAGAGGACAAAGGAGTCAGTTCTCTCCTTTCACCATGCGCGGTCCAGAGACTATACTCAGTTTTTTGGGTTGTTTTTTTTTTTTTTTTTTTTTTTTTTTTTTTGAGATGTAAGTCAGTTCCAGGAAAGAAGCTGCACCTCCCACTGAGCCTTCTGAGAGGCTGATTAAAACGTCAGTCATGGTGTGGAGGTTGGACTGTTGCGGGCCCAGAAACTAATTACAATTTATCTTGAGCTACAATTCTAATAAATTATAACTTACCTTAGCCTTCTGACTGGCCATTCCTTACCTGTCTCTCTGTCTAACCGAACAGATAAATGTGTTCACTTAACAAAAACATAGGTTTTTTTTTCCCCCCACCAACCAAAAGGCTAAGAATGTTATCAGATAGCAACTGAGGTCTATAGTTGAGGTTCACCCGCCCTCTACTTTGCTTGAACTACCTACTTAATGTTTCAACCAGTGTATTTGAAAGGTGCCCCGACTTGCAGTGTTTTTGTGGGATTTTGTTGTTGTTGTTGTTGTTTTCCCTGAGACAGGGTTTCTCTGTGTAGCCCTGGCTGCCCTGGAATTCACTCTGTAGACCAGGCTAGTCTCCAACTCACAGAGATCTGTTGGGAGTTCCTGCAGAGCTGCAGCTGGTTTGATTCTGGGGTGTTATAACGCACCTAGCTTTGATCTGTCTTTTGTGATTGTTACCTTTTGTCTCCAGTACCTTCTATGTGAATCTTGTCTAAAGGTGCAAAGCCTATGCAAAGCTTGGTTGGGGAACAAGCCGGGGAAGCTGTGATAGTCCTTAACTGGCAATTTGCATTTGGCATTGTCCCCTTGGGGAGCTTAGATAAGAGGTTTTGGGATACAAAATTAACTTGCTAAAGGTGTAAATTGGAGAACAATAAGAAAAGCCCTTTGCTAAGCTACAAGTGAGTCAGTCAGTCCGGAGAGACTGATCCCCTTGCAGCTGGAAAGGCAAAAGATCTCTTCCTTAAGGTGTGTGAACCCACACTCCATACGCAACAGAGATCCACCTGCCTCTGCCTCCCAAGTGCTGGGATTAAAGGTGTGGGCCATTATGCCTGGTTTCTACTTGTGATTTTCTCTGTTCTGTTACTATAAGAACGTCATCAAACTGCTACCACTTTGGAACATGGAATTTGAAGTAACCTAAATCTGTGTTCCCAGGCCATGGTCACTGGCATTTGGCTCCAGAATAAACTCTCTAATCCTCTTCAAGTCCAGAGCTGTGTTTTTGTGTCAACAGAGACAAGGGCCTTAACCAGATGGGTCTTCTTACTGCCCCTAAACGTTTTTACTGTGTATTTGTTTATTGTGGGAGCCTTACCCACTGGGCTGTCTCATTGCCTGCCTGCCTTCCTTCCTTCCTTCCTCCCTCCCTCCCTCCTTCCCTCCCCCTCTCTCTCCCTTCCTTCCTCCCTCCCTCCGTCCCTCCCCCTCTCTTTCTTTCTTTCTTTCTTTCTTTCTTTCTTTCTTTCTTTCTTTCTTTCTTTTTTTCCTTCCTATCTGTCTTTTTCAGACAGGATCTCACTACATAGTCCTGGCTGTACTAGAACTCACTCTGTAGACCAGACTGGCCTCTAACTCACGGATATCCCCTGCCTCTGCTTCCTGAGTCCTGGGATTAAAGGTGTAGACCATCACTCCCAGATCTGTGTTTCTAATTTTTTAGGTACAGTGTAGACTTCAGAACACAGTTGGTATCGGTGGATAGGGTCCGTACTCAACAAGTCCATTGAGCTTGTGGGTAGTGTCGTACCTGGAACCTTCAGGAACCCGATCCTGAGACTGCTGTCTTCAGCACCACACCCAAACACAGTCTTTGAGAAGCAGCAGAAAACACACAGCCTCACAGAGCTGGGGTCTGGAGGGGTGGAGGAGAACTGAGCCAGTTTGGCAGGCTCAGGCCAAAGGCCACTCAGAGCCTCCTACTTGGGGGTGGGGGAGAGTATTGGAGCTAGCCACAGATGAACTGCTGATTTTGCAACCTGTTTGTCAGCTGCTCTGTTCCTTTCCCGGGCATCTCCAGGCATAGCCATGAAGGAAGTACAGGCCATCTTCCTCTTTTACGTGTGCGTGTGAGTGTGCATGTGTGTGTGTGTGTGTGTGTGTGTGTGTGTGTGTGTGTGTGTGTGTGTGTGTGTTACTGGTGTCTGAACTCAAGGCCTTGTAGATGTTGGTACTTTACCATTGAGCTACAACTTCTTTCTGACTCAAGCATAGGGCCTTCTGCCGTGATGTCCCCTCTTAGCTAACTCAAACGAAAGACAGGACACTCCCTGACCTACGGAGTCCCATGCAGGCTCTGTCCTGGGTGGCCTGAGGGAAAAGAAAACAAAACAAGAGCTTTCCTCTGCAGCCTGAAAGCCTGGGAAAGTCCCCGTTGAGTGGCTCTGATTGTTTCAACCACAGCCCAAAGCAAAAGTAGGAAGCAGGCTCCAGCCTAGGGCTAATGTTTGGCCAGTTTATCTCCCAGGACAGCAAGGCTGCTCTCCGGCAGTTCCGGGTAGAATGTGTGTCTACTCAATTGCCCACTCACCTCACAGGAAGCTTTGAGCAGAGCTCCACCAAGTGAGGTTAGGTGGGACCAACTCTGCTGCTCTGTGGTTAAAAGCAGAGTTTCTGGATGGCTTCTGGCCCTCTCCTCCACACTGTTATTGACTCAGCCACATCGGGAAAAGAGTTAGGACGCTGGTCAGGTTACCAGGGACTACATTCTAGCCGTTTGGGTTGTCTTGGGCAGGCAACCATCCTATTGGAAGTTTGCTCATCTCTGAAGAGATTGGCCAGAGCTATTGTGTTGATGATGTGTTTTATACAGCCTCAGCTGTCATTGTTGGGTATGGGGATGGATGCTTGGAACCATCAACTGATAGGGCTACAGCATTTCTCTTTCCTCCCAGAGAATGACACTCCTGGCCAAGAGTCCCTGCCCAGGTCACTGACAAGGTCTCAAGGTGGTCATTGGAGGTATGGGAAGTTCTCTGTGAGAGAATCTGTGGGCCTTTGCGTTGCCTCCTCATGTTGGGGAGCAGTGAGGACCAAACAAGTTGAACAACAGGCACAAGACAGGAAAGGCTGACAGGAGGAAAAGGTGAACCTGAGGAAAGTCTGCATACTAGGAGTTTTTATACACGCTTGTATGTTGTGTATGTGGGCATGTGTGGGTATACATGGGGGTGTGCACAGAGGCTAGTGGACAACCCCAGGTGTTGTCTGCAGGAATGCTGTTGGCCTCCTTTGAATCAGAGTCTCTTCTTGGCCTGAAGCTCACCAATTAAGCTAGACTGACTGGCCAGGGAGCCTCACGGGTCCTCCTGTCTCTGCTTCCGCAGCACTGGGATTCTGGGAATGCACCATCAAGAGTGGCATTTTTAAGTGGGTCAGGGGTCAAGTCATGGCCTCATGCTCACAAGACATGCATTTTACTGAGCTTGGTCTACTGAGATTTTAACAAACAACTCACTTTGTGTCCTAAGCATCTAAACATCCTTGCCAACAAAACTTTCATGGCATCATACAGTTTCACATTAGATTGGCTTAGAAAAGCTATTAATTGTCAATTTTAGACAGTCACATGTCCCATCTGCTACTTGCAGACTATTCCATCCTGTGTTTTCATAACCTCAAGAAGCAGGAAGGGAAAACAGACCCACAGACCTTGTTAACCCTGCTGGCTCCATCTTTTGAAGGAAGAGTGGGTCCTCCCAAGCATTCAGACATTCCCCCTGCCACAGGCAAACAATTCCACTTGAAGGAAAGGTAGTGGCGGGCGTTCTAGGCGTGTGAATGTGAGGGACAATGGGTAGCTCTGGAAGCTGGTGAGGCAGCAAAGCTGGGAAGTCAGGAAGGAAATATATTGTGGTTCTGAGGTGATGTGACTTCCCTCATACCCAGTGGTCTGTCTGGGTATGACGCCTTTATCTGATGGGACCATGCCGCAGCCAAGCTCCACACGATGCGGTCAAACAAAGGACGTGACCTGTAGGTCTCAGCATAACCTTGCCCAGTGAGAACATGCAGGTGTCCCATCTACAGCTGTGAGACAGACAGGATTTTCATTTCCAGATGCCTGGCCTTTCCTCCACTCACTTGTTCTGTCTACGTGATTGGGACGTCACTAGGGCCCCCTTTCATTCAATCAATACATATTTTCTCAGCACCTACTGAATATTAGGCTCTGTGCTGGACCTGGAGAGGCAGAATGGAGAAGACAAGACACCTGTCCTCAAAGCAATATTACAGCCAGGCGGTGGTGACACATACCTTTAATCCCAGCACTCGGGAGACAGAGGCAGGTGGATCTCAGAGTTCTAGGTCAGCCTGGTCGACCTAGAGAGTTCCAGGACAGCCAGAGCTATACAGAGAAACCCTGTCTCGGGGGTGGGGGTGGGGAAAGGAATATTGCAACAGGGAGAGAGCAACCATGTGTGGAGACCAGGGTGTTGAAGGGCACCAAGGCAGGAGGCCAAGAAAAGTGTGGAGGTTCCAGAGGCTATTTACAGGACTGTTCTCTGAGTCAAATGGCTGCCATCTGCAGGAATTGAGCTGGACTTGCTGGCCGGAGAGCATTAGAGCTGGGCTTGTTGACTCTTCGAAAAGGTGTAGGGGTCTCATAAGACCCTTACCCAAGAATCCAGCCACCCCTTCTGTGGTGGTTTGAATGTAATTGGCCCCCATAAGCTCACAGGGAGTGGCACTATTAGGAGGAGTGGCGTTGTTGGAGTGGGTGTGGCCTTGTTGGAAGAAGTGTGTCACTGTGGGGGTGAGCTTTGAGGTCTCATATGTGCTCAAGCCACGCCATGTCTCAGTTCACTTCCTGATGCCTGATGTAGGAGTCTCAGAGGCTGGAGAGATGGCTCAGTGGTTAAGATGCTCTTCCAGAGGACCTGGGTTAAATTCCCAGCACCTACATGGCAGCTCACAGCTGTCTCTAACTCCAAGATCTGACACCCTCACACGGACATACATGCAGGCAAAAGACCAATGCAAATGAAATAAAAGTAAATAATTTTTTTA